TTTAACGTGGCGGGCAAACGAGCAGAAAACCTTTAGGAATTCATAACCCTGATCGTAAAACAGTAGCGACCTTTGAGGAGGCAAGCCAGCGGAGATTGTCAAGGAAATTTGGCCAATGAGCCAGCTAGCAGAGAATCTTAAAGAAATCATAGCTGTCCGGGCAAGCTAGCAGAGAACCTTGGAAAGGCAAGCTTGCAGGGATTTTTCAGAAGAACAGAAGCCAATCAACAGAAAATCTTGAAAAATAAAACCCCGCGGCAAGTTAGCAGAGATTTTTGTGGAAATCTAGCACAAGGGTAAGCTAGCGGAAATTTTTGAGGAAGTCAGATATCAGAGATCTTGTTCGAAACCTTCAAAAAATCCGTTTTTTTTTGCGGTAAACAGGTGTGACCCTTTTTCTTCTGGGGTCAAAGGCGCAGCGAGGGAGAACATTTGTTCACCCAAATGTTCTGTGTCCTCGGCTGCGAGGTGTTGTACGCAAATTATATTGCACCCCAGGATTACACACCACCCCCCCGCGCACAACTGGCGCCCCAAAAACGCGCGTTGCACGGCGCGATTGGGTAATACCGGGCAAAACATCGGTAATTCTTGGAATTTCCTCAGGGATCTTTGCTAGTTTGCCCGGTTTTGCCAGAAGTTCCACAAAGAATCTCTGCTAGGTTGCTCGGAGAAGCTCGTGCTCCCGAAAAATTCGCTGCAGCTCCTTGGCTCCCCGAAGTTCGTGCTCTCCAAGGAATCTCTGCTAGCCTGCCCGCCTGGATCCGATCTCCCAAAGAATCGCTGCTAGCCTGCCCAGATGTCGGAAAGATTTCCCCAAAAATCTTTGTTAGATGGCCTGTTTCTAAGCTCCATTCCGCAAAGGTTCTCTGCCAGCTTGCCTCTCTTAAAAATGCTTTTTAAAGGCATACACAACCCAAAGATTTATCCTACCTCCTGGCCCTACCCTAAAGAATCATATTTCTCCAGAGTGGCCCTTTGTTCTCCGGACAGCCGAGATGGGGGCCGGCCAGAAAGTGACAAATGGCCGATGGGCCCTAGGCATCTGGGGCAGGCTAGCAGGGATATTTGGGGATCCTTGGGTATAAATTTTCCACAAAGAATCTGTGCTAGTTTGCCCCTAGAATCAAGCTCCTCAAATAATCTCTGCTAGCTAACCATTAGATCCGGCTTCCCAAAGGATCTCTGCCAGCCTGCCCCCTCAACTCGAGGGCGATGATGCGGAAAAGGGTTCGTTTTGACAGCCCCCGGCAGCCTGTGACAATGAGCGATGGGCACCAATTTGTCTGTCCCACCCTGAGCTGCCCGTCAATAGGTGCCGATCGTAGCTTGGGGGTTTTTGCCGGGGTGTGCGGCTTCCTTTTGGGCCCTCAGGAAAGGGTGACAACTGCGCGTAGGGGTTGGGCCCTACCCCCCAAATGACCCCAGGGCATATGACCGAGGCATTGGAGAGGGGAATTGAAGGAAAATGCCAATTAATGGAACCGGAAACGCTGTTGGTGATCTGCCAAAATTCTGGAATTTTGAGGCTATATGACATTTATGAAAATTTGCCTATAGGACCCCTTAAAAACACGTGAAAAATTGTTCGAAACGTTTAAGAGGACGATGGAAATTGCGGCTTTATGGATTTGTTCTTTTAAAGGGACCGGGAAGGCCATCGCGAGCTGCCAAAGTCTATGGAACTCTGGAATTTGCCTTCAGGGGTCCTTAAAAAGGCAACTCGCAACACGGGCTAAAATGGGTCCTAGAAGCATTTTAAAGGGAGCATGACATACGGTTTTAGATCGATTTTTGAGTTTTGAAGGAGCATGACATAAGATCTTGATCGATTTGCGGCTTGAAAGGGAGTGTGACATATATGCTTTTTATGGAGCTCGAACTTTTAAATGGAGTATGATATACGGTTTTACATTGATTTTGGATTTTTGAAGGAGCATGACATAAGATCTTGATCAATTTTGAGGCTTGAAAGGGAGCATGACATATATGCTTTTTATGGAGCTCGAACTTTTAAAGAGAGCATGACATGAGCTTTTGATAGATTTTGAATCTTTAAAGGTGCCTGGCATACGAGTTCGCGTGTGACCTATGCGCGTTTCATGGAGCACAAACTTTTAAATGGAGCGTGACATCAAATTTTCATGGATTTTGTCGTTTTCAAGGGACTATTACACTTTTTATAACGTTTTTCAGTTCTAAAGAATGCAATACCCGTTTCAAAAAACCAAAATGGATTTTTCGCGATTGACATCTGTTTAAAGGGAGAGTGGCAGTCTATTTTTTGTATGTTGCAGCTTTAAAGGGATCGTGACAGCAAATTAACACTCGAAAAAATATTACCAAATTGCCTTTCCCATTCCTTTAAAACGTAAGATTCATCAGGCTTCCCTCCAACCGCCAAACGAGTCAGGGTGCCCCCTCAAACTGTTGGAAGTCAAATTAGGTGCTTGGCGGGGCCCCGGGGCACCAATTTTAGAGGTTGGGCCCCCGAGGGGTGCCGAAAGGGGAGAGGTAGTAAATGTGCCCTTCCCCCCTTGCTTCCCCCCACAACTCGCAAGAAAAATCAAATTAAACTCGACTCCTCACCGCCGTTCCCCCCTTCAGGAGTTGGCCTTCAGACGTGTTGGGCCCTCTCCGTAGGCCCCTGTCAGAGGGCCCTGCCTGGAAATCAACTCAACCCCCCTCCAGGACTTCCGGGGCACGGCTGGGCGGGGCTCGGCGACAAGTACGAAGTGTACACAGAACGGGTGTGGCGCTGTGGAAATTTTTAAGGAAGGGCGACAGGAAAAGACAGAAAATTTAACTGAAAGAATAATAAAAAGTATATATAGAAAGGCCACTGGCTTTTCGGCTGGCTGAACGTATGGAGGAGGTTGGCATTGACCAGGAGAGAGTGCGAGGCGCTGATTCTTTGATTCGATGAAATAATTGGGGGGTTAGAAGGAGTGGGGGTGGAGGAGGAGGAAGCACGCCACCTGTCACGCCTAGGGTAGCGCGAGAAGGCGAGAACTGGAGAGTCAAAAACCCGGGGGAGGCTTGCAGGGATTTTCAGGAAATTCACCGAGTCCTAGGGGGTGTTAAACTTTTTGTTAAAGTAGAGATGTTACGCATACGAATACGACATAGGAGTTACACGTCGTATTCGAATAAGCCGTCGGAATCAAAAATTTCCTAATTCCGACCCGATCGTCGTATTCGAATTAGCGTCGGCACCAGGCAAATGCGACGATCGTATTCGTTTAAACCGGTTCACATCGGGATAATAAGCTAATTTGGATGCAAAGCGATATGACGAAGAAAACGGTTGGAAAATCGAAACCAGTAGTCAGAATATGCATAATTTGAATAGATTTAGGAGCCAATTTCCCGGTCATTTCCGGTGGATGTGCCAATATTTTGCTATTTGCATAGCATTTCGTCTTGAATTGTTAATTAGCTTTTTATCCCGACGTGGAGCCGATATGCGAATCGTCGCATCGGGATTTACCCAAAGCTTGTCCGAATACGATCGTTGTATTCGAATTGCTCGCGCACTTTCTCAAATCAGATATGCATATCGGGCTAATTTGTCGGAAGTAGCACATCGTATTCGTATGCGTAACATCTCTATGTTAAAGGGATGCCCAACCTTTTCGGGGTTCAAAAAACAAAAAACATGCCGCGGGCGGGGGTCGAACCCGGGACCCCCGGTTTGTGGGCCTGGATGCTATCCATTAGGCCATAGTGGCAAGCCATTGCGTGGGATGGGGACGCCACAAGAGGGAAAGGTGTCCGAATTCTGTGCGGCAATGGCGCCCCATTGCCGCACTTAATTCACGCGTCATTTGTACTGCCCGGAATCCATAACTATATAATTGCCTCCAAAACCTTGGGTATCCCTTTAAGAAGTTAAAAAACATAACAGCTTAAGCTCGGAATTAGCGTTCGGCTCGAGTTTATTGTTAGGAAAGAGCTTGATGGGAGGCGAGTTTGAGGTTAAGCTTATGCCTACCCTCCGCTTACGCTCCGGATGTAGCCTAGACTTCTGCTTGGCCCTGGCTTGGCTTTGACTTAGGCCTAGGCCTAGGCACTCCGGCTTTATTTATTCGATGCATTCAGCGTCGCTCGTGTATGCCTCTATCAGTTCCGTCTCACACCATTTTGACACCACCGGCACGTGTCTACGATTTCTCGGGCCGTTAACATAAATTTAGGAGGGCAGGGCAGAGCGAAAGAGAAAAAGAGAGCCAGCGTGAGAGTGCGAAAGAGAGAGAGAGAGAGAGAGAGAGAGAGAGAGAGAGGGAGAGCTAGTGAACGCGGCCGCTTACGATAAATGGTGCCGAGGAACACCCCAGATAGCACACCAATCCCCCAGACAGGGCACTCCGGCACGTACGCAGGAGCGTGTTGTACAGAAATGGTTCGGTGGTCTATGCCGAGGCATTCTCGAAGAGTTCTGAGATCTTTAAAGGACTGACAAGGCATTGATGGACAGATCTTTAGAGTACCTACTGTAGGGATACTGTAGGGATCCTATTGCTATTTTTTTACGATTTGTATGCATTTTTAGATTTTTGCGATATATTCTAATCCTTTATCTGCGTGCTATAAGCACATACGGGGTACTTGCACATGCAAATTGGCACACCATTTTCCAGAATCGAAAAACATCACAAAATATCACCGGAAATGCACAAAATGGCATCACAAAATCGATGGGGGTCTATTTAGATGGCGTAATCAATAAAACTGATTCACGAGCGGGAAAAATTATTATTGGAAACAACGCAAGGCAAAAAGTGACGATCACTCGAAGTCGGACCCGGATAGGGTTACGGTAAGATACGGTAGGGGGCTACGGTATTGGGATACGGTAAGGGTTATGCAAATGAGATCGCAAGTCGAAGGTCTGAGTAAAATCAAACGTTTTTTAAAGGGATGGTGAAATGGCTGAACTTGTTGAAGTCGGTGTTTTTACTGTTACCATCCCTTTAGGCTTAGGCTTAAGCTTGAACCTATAGCCCAATCGTCTTTGCGAAGCTGTTCGACAAGTTGCCGATCGGCGACTCGACGAACAGGTAGAAGACGGTGGCCGCCAAGAACGAGAGCACGGCCACTGCGGGGAGGACAACTACCAGCTCGACGGCTCCAGAAGCCGTCTGCAAGTACGACAGGTGGTTGAAGATGTACACGATCGGCATGTGAAGGAGGTAGGCGGCGAAGGTGAGCCGCGCCAGGATGGACCACGTCGGCGAGACGTCAAAGCTAAAATGGGGTGGGTTGGGATTGGATTGAACTGTTAGAAAACCTCGTGAGTCCAATCTGATGATTTGAATTCTATTAGAACTTAAATAGACTACAAATAATAGCGTTAATGTTGCTGAACTCGTTGAAAACCATGGAATTTGCCGCATAGCCTTGCTACCACTGAACTCCTCCAAAACCTCACCTCTCTTTCCGGTAATAGAACGATGCGATCATGGCGCACACGCCCAGCGCGAACACGCTGCGGAACAGGGCCGTGTAGCTGACGTTGTACAGGTTGGTGGTCATCTCCGGGTACCAGTATTCAGGCAAGATTCCGTAGATCATCGCCAGGCAGATGGCGGCGCCAGCGAGGAGCAGCTTCTTGGCGGCGGATTCGGAGAGTTCAGCCTGAAATTTAAGGCTTTACAATGGTATTAAAAAATTTAAAATCAAGAAATCAGTAAATTTTATGGGGATGATAGCAAGTGAGAAAACTGACCTTGACGAAGACGGTGGCGTAGCCGAGGAGCATGCCGATGAGGAACGGGCCGCATTTGGTGTAGGGGCGGGCGTACATGTCCCAGAGTCCCTCGTACGTCTTGAGGACGTCGGCCGGGTCGGCGTCGGGGTAGGAGATGAACTATAAGGGGGGCGGGTTAGATTTTTTGGTTTAAAGGGAGCGTGACACCAAGTTTGAGCGTAGTTTCAATTTTAAAGGGACTGTGACAGAAGATTTTTATGATTTTTCAGCATTTAAAGGTGTAATGACAGTATAATTTCGCAAGTTTGCTGCTTTTAAAGGGATCCTGACAGCTATTTTCGCGTTGTTTTCGCTTTTAAAGGTGCTGCGACAGCCGGTTTCATAAGTTTACAGAGTTTAACGAAAGCGCAACAGTACACCACTTGCCCTTTCCGCTACCGTACCCCTCCCATTAGTGCAACGTCACCCCCTCACCCCTGACAGGTGTGCGCGACGTGCGGTTGCTGACCGATCGCCACCCCGTTTTCACCTGGCCAACACAAAAAAATTCGCGCTCATTCTCGGCACGTAAATAGGAGCCCCACGTACACCCAAGGCAGGTTGTCCCAATTAACACCCCCCACCCGACTAGGCTAAGAATTCAGAGATGAATATTGCGTTATTTACATGTGCGGACCCAATTACGGGGCGTAAATATTTTTGGCGGCGGATGGTTGCGGGCACGTGTCGCGCAGGGGAAGTACGGTGTTTAGGGGATCAGGGAGGTGGGTTAGGCCGAGAAATGGGCTGTCGCTGTCCCTTTAAGATCGAAAAACTCCAGAAAGCAGGTGTCGCGTTCCCTTTAAAACCAGAAACGGCACGAAAATAGCTGTCATGCTCCTTGAAAGCCAAAAAAGAAATTGCGGAAATCTATTTGAAAGGGAGCATCACAGTTAGAAACCCAGCTATTTTAAAGGCAGCATGACAACTAGAAATCACCTATTTTAAAGGGAGATTGAAGGCTAAAAATCAGCTATTTTAAAGGGAACATGACTGCTAAACTTTTCCGATTTTAAAGGGAGCATGAGCTCGTTCTAAGCAAAATCTGTCAACGCGAAAAAACCAAATCCAAATCCTCACCGGAATGTCGACGTCGGACTTGTTGCAGGTACCATATGCCGAGCAATGGGCGGCCCGGATCACCGACGAGGCGACGATCAACCCGAGGGTTACGATAACCCCACGACGGGGCGACGAGACGAGAAGATGGAGCAGGAAGGGGAGCAAGAGGTGGAGCTGCATGTCGAGACCCAGATACCAGAGGTATCCCATACAGGTCGGGGTCGACTGCCAGTTGCCGGTGAAGCTGAGGTGGCTGGCGAGGCCCTTTAGGCCGCAGTCGGAGATCATCGTCGTCGAGAAGCTGGAAAAGGGGTGGCGTTCAAGGGGTCGGGAAGTGAAGGATTTTGCCAAAAAAGTGGATTTTTCAGTTTTAAAGGGCAATTGAAGGAAAGGCATGCCGAAAATTCAAATCCCCGGTTTAAAGGGCCCTTCAAGTTACGGAAAACAAAAGAAATTACAGACGCCGCTACTTAAAGGACCAGGAAAGCCGCTGAAGTTCTCAAAAACTTTAAAATCAGGCTTTAAAAAACCGAATTTTTGTTTTAAAGGCCCATTCAAGTCCGGACCTATCGTAACGCCACGCACATGTCAAAATGACATCAATGCTCTGTGCACTATCGAAAATACGCTAAGAATACGCAGTACATAGGTTATCGGAATCACTACACTACGCTCCTCGCCACGAGTGCATATTAATTTGATATTTAAGGGCGGCTAATAATAATGGCCCACGCGGGCGGGGAATGTGGGTGGTACGTGCCAAATCGTCACCGACTTTCTGGAGATAGTACAGTCTCGGAAAATCACGGAAATCGAGAATTCATAGCATCAAATGCATATTAGGTGATTTTCCGATCTTTTTAAAGGGGCAGTGACAGCAAAAAAATGGTCTGTTTTAAAGGGACAGTGACAGCCAAAACCGCCTATTTTAAAGGGCACCAACCGAGGAAGTACAGCCTGCACGATGGGCCCGGCGGCGATGTAGACGAACATGGCGACGGAGGGGAACAGACGGAGAACACGACGGCCGAGGAACGAGCTGTAGTGGGCCCAGAAGGGCTGGTCCCCATTCCGAAGCCACGAGCGGGCACCGAGCAAGCCGGACAGGACGAGGAACACCTTAAAACGGCTTGTAAAACTTGTTAAATTCTTTGGAAAATTAAATTCTAATCATAGGGTTGGCGCAGTGGCTTGTGACTTTGCCTACCAAACTGGAGGCCCGGGTTCGATTCCCGCTCAGGTGAAATTCTTTTGCTTTTTGTTTCTTAAGCCTGTAATCGTGCAAAAGGCGCAAAAACTACCGTACCTCCACCCCAAGGGCGCTGTTGCCAAGGAGGGCGCCGAAAACCGGATGGGTGTGGACGTTGTGCTTGAAGGCGTCGGCAGAGGGTTGCTTTTCCAGGATGTCAATTCGGCCCTCAGATCCGGTATGGTTGAGCATCACCCATAGGATGGCGATCACCCTGAACCGCACGTTTTCAAGGAGTTCGGAGCTTTTAAAGGGACTGACAAGTCCTAGATTTTCATTGTTTTTCGTAACCCAACCCTTTCGAGCAGTTCAACAGACTTTGAATGACGGGCAAAGCAACCGCAGATTTTCATCACTATCTTTGTAAGCGCGAGGTTTTCGAGCAGTTCAAGCCTCCAAGAATTCCCTGTAAGCTCACCGGAAGCAGTCGAGGACGTTCAAGCGGGATTGTCTGCCGGTGGTCAGCTCGTGCCACGAGCGGTGGAGGGAGAGGGAGCGGAGCGGCGACTTGGCCACGATCGTGCCCATCACCACCAGGCTGACCCACCCGATCAGGGGAGTCAGGGCTGAGCCCACGGTTTCGGGGAGTCCCCAGGTGAAGGGGCACGTCTAGAAAACTTGTTTTTTGGCTTTGATGTCTCTCGAGAACCGCCAAAGAAATCTTAAAATTGTTACTGTCCTTTAAAACCCAAAATCCGCTTGACCTAAGCGTTAAATTTTTTCAATAAAAATAAGATATTCAAAGTCAAAGTTTAAGCCAAAGTTAAGTAAACTAAGTTTGCACCGAAACTAAGCCCAAACTAACACTAAGCCAAGCCAGAGCGAAGCCAAGCCTAAGCCCAAGCCAAGCCACCCACCTTGTTCTGCACGCCCTCCTCAACCATCGTCTCGTTCTCGTTCAACCCGGCCGAGCGCAACAGCTGGATCATGTCGATCGCCTGGATGAGGGGTACGGTATTGGCTAATTTTCAAGTGTCTTACCTCGAAATTTACTTGCCGCAGAGCAGGGATCATCAGCGACGCCTCGCCAAGCAGCTTGACGGAGGCCATCGCGTGTTTTTGAGAGTTTTTGGGTAGTTTCTGGAATTTTCAGGGGTTACTGTAGCGTAGAAAAATTCGCAAGAAATGAAAATCTATCGAAAGGGTACTACAGACACCAAATTCCCGGTTACGGTAGCTAGAGTCGAATTGTTGAGCTACGAAACCTTCCAAATGACAAAATTCCTTATCCGTACATTCGGAAAATTGTGTATGGTGCATTAAGCGATACGCTACGATCCAAAGTGCAGGTTACTGTAGGTTAGACTAAAAACCTATGCTAAGATCCAACTTACGAGCTACGGTAAGGCGCAGTAATACGAACAATAAGCAACTAAATACGCTCAATCAGATACGCTAGGCTCCAAATTACGCGCTACCGTAAGCCGTAGTCAGCCGTACGCTGGGTGTCAAGCTACGCCCTACGATATACGCCAAGATCCAAACTACGCGCTACAGTAAACCGTAGTCAGCCGTAATCTAACCAGCGCCAAGATACGCTACAGTAAGCCGAACGCTGCGCTGCAATTTACGCTTCAGTTTCGCGCTACAGTAGCCCGTCTCAAAAATTTCGTAAAGGCGCCAGAAAGCCAAGAAGCACCCGGGGTACGGTAGGACCCCGGAAATTCCCTACCCCGAACCGAACAACCCCGACCTCTCCGGGCTTTTATAGGCGGCGTACGTGACTTTCCGCCGGCGGCTACAGTACTCGCTCGCGGCCAGGCCACGCCCCTTCTGCCCACCCGAATTTACCATATTCCACGCGGCCCGCGATTTTTCGGAGAAAAGGGGCGTGGCCTGGGGGTCTAGAAGACGTGTGTCGCCTTTCCCCTCCCTTCCGAATGTTCACCCCCAAGAATCGTAACGTCTGTATCATGGCGGAATATGGCAAAAAGCTAGTATAGCCAGAGTGGGAACAGGTGTGCAATGTACACTAGCGGAATACTACGATTTACAGAAAAAGCGGGTCCGTTTTTGGTGCTTTTAGCCATAGAAAAAGAATGAATAGTTGCACAAAAAAAATATTTCCATTTTGTGATGCTCGGGTGCTCCTCGTGCCTTTGTAATTATTGTAATTTGGAGCTACCGTAAGCCAGTACCAGCGAAATGCAGGATTTCAAACAATCCCCCAAAATATTTTGCAAAATCGTAAATTTCTTTAAATTCTATTAAACTCGGTGTCCTTTTGAATAAATTCTGAGGTCAGTTTTCGCAAGTTCTTATGTTTCAATCCATCTTAAATTAGCTACAATTAACAAAAACTTTTTAACTTTAACTTTTTAACGATTTAACTCTTTTTGGATTTTCAGCATAATTTATACCATATATTTGGCGTACGGACCTTTTTGAATTTGATGCTCAAATCATGCAAATCCTGTTTTCAATATGGCGACGGCTGGCTCGCGTCTGTCTCTCACACCGCACGCGTGACACGCAACGCTCGCCCCGTCTCCATTGCGTAACGCGCGACACAGCTTAGAGGTACAGTCCGCTCTCGTTTGACTGGTCTTAGATCTTAGACAAATTGTGTTTTAGGATGCCGGGTTACGGTGGGTGCTAAAAGTCGGGCAAAACCGAACCCGGGACGCTCGCCTGGGGTAAGCGCTTTAGACCACTCGGCCATGGGAGCGACGGGAGAGTGAGAGGGGGCGAGGAGCTATGAAGGGTCGGAAGTAGAGATGTTACGCATACGAATACGACATAGGAGTTACACGTCGTATTCGAATAAGCCGTCGGAATCAAAAATTTCCTAATTCCGACCCGATCGTCGTATTCGAATTAGCGTCGGCACCAGGCAAATGCGACGATCGTATTCGTTTAAACCGGTTCACATCGGGATAATAAGCTAATTTGGATGCAAAGCGATATGACGAAGAAAACGGTTGGAAAATCGAAACCAGTAGTCAGAATATGCATAATTTGAATAGATTTAGGAGCCAATTTCCCGGTCATTTCCGGTGGATGTGCCAATATTTTGCTATTTGCATAGCATTTCGTCTTGAATTGTTAATTAGCTTTTTATCCCGACGTGGAGCCGATATGCGAATCGTCGCATCGGGATTTACCCAAAGCTTGTCCGAATACGATCGTTGTATTCGAATTGCTCGCGCACTTTCTCAAATCAGATATGCATATCGGGCTAATTTGTCGGAAGTAGCACATCGTATTCGTATGCGTAACATCTCTAGTCGGAAGTCCCAGCCACCGGACAGGCGAATTCTTGCCGCCGAACTGGATTTTTTAACGAGCGCGGAATGTACCTTTAAGGGAGTGGGGGCCAAGCCCTATGCGTTGCGTGTCGCGCCACGGTAGCATAGCGGTGCCTTTCCGGCCCCTTTAAATTTTTGCTAACGACGCCAAAATCTCTTTCTGATAAATTGACTGTAACCTTAAGGCCATTTTTACATTTTGAATATCCGCGAAATTTGAAAAATTAATTTTTCGCTTCGAAAATCCTATTTCCTAATTTTAATTTATGAATGGATTTTTTTGTTTAGAAATCCATTTCTTCAGTTTCAGTTAGACCTTAATTATTCTCAGTAAGTTTCGTACATTTTCAAATCAGTCATTCAACAATTCTAACTCCGCTGCGCTCCAATTGACGCGCCGTCCAGCTAAACCGGCACCAATCGTTTCGCCATTTACATGAAGCCACCCCCAGGATTAGCCGGGCACCATTTTTCCCGTAACTCACCCCTGTGATAACACCCTACGCGACATTACCCTTTACACGAACACCACCACCCCCCGCCTTCGACCTCCCTCATTTGCATATCAGCCTAAATGGCAGACTGCCGACCCTAGGGGATGGGGGGAAATTTAAGGTAACTGCCTGGCCGCCGGGCCCAATATTTGCATAACCGATCTTGTGAGGACTGGTCAGGTGTCTGGAAGCATAAAAAAAATATAAAAAATTCAAAACATGATCGGGTGATTTTAAACGGATGGCGACGGCAAGAAAAATGGTGCATTTTAAAAATAAAGATTTTTATGATTAAAATGAAAAATACGGGTTACTTTTGGAATAACGAAATCCATAATGTCGAAATTTGGTAATGTGGCAATTTCATATTGTCGAAATTTGCATCGAAAAATCTGTGGAAAACGCCTAAAAAAAGATATTGTGAATTTCGGCTTTGTGAAATTTCGGCATTATGATAGCAACCCAAACTTGCGGTAATTACCGTAATTTCACGCTGCAAAGGCTACCGTAACCCAGAGGAAGTTTCGATCAGTACTTCGGTAGATGGCTACGGTAATCTGATGGAATTCATAATTAAATTTTAATTTTATTAATTTAAACCAGCGCCCAAAACCCGCTTCGCGGGCCTTGGGGGCTGGAATGCGGCCTTTGCATGAAAAATTTGACTTTCCGATGACTTTGACTTTTCTGCGGACCCCCTCCCCCCGCCCCCGACCAAACCCGCGAGTGCAACTGGCCAGAATGAGTAAATTTGTATTTTTTCACATTATGCAAATTAGCCCTCCTGGACCCCCAAAAATGAATAAAACCGGCTTTAACTTTGTAAACTTGTATTTTATCGAAATTCTGAAAGCGCCATCGGAAAGAGGAGGGTCGTTCCCCAAGTGACGGAAAAATAGCGCATTTTATCCAGGGGAAGGTCCTTAAATCAGGCCTCGAAAGTGACATCCACACACACACACACACACACACACACACACACACACACACACACACACACACACACACACACACACACACACACACACACACACACACACACACACACACACACACACACACACACACACACACACACACACACACACACACACACACACACACACACACACACACACACACACACACACACACACACACACACACACACACACACACACACACACACACACACACACACACACACACACACACACACACACACACACACACACACACACACACACACACACACACACACACACACACACACACACACACACACACACACACACACACACACACACACACACACACACACACACACACACACACACACACACACACACACACACACACACACACACACACACACACACACACACACACACACACACACACACACACACACACACACACACACACACACCACACACACACACACACACACACACACACACACACACACACACACACACACACACACACACACACACACACACACACACACACACACACACACACACACACACACACACACACACACACACACACACACACACACACACACACACACACACACACACACACACACACACACACACACACACACACACACACACAAAGATACGCGACCAAATTATATAAGGTAGGATTAAAAAATATAGATTTTTCGAAAAAATCCAATATCAACTTTATAAAGTTTTTAGAGGGTGTTCCACTTGAAATATGGTTAAATCGTGCCAATGAGCACTATTAAAATACGTAATACTACTTTATTAGGCTTTTCAAGACTTTTACAAAAAAAAATTGTGTACCCCACCGATAGTGCAAAAGATCCTAGTTATCTCAGACAGGCTTGGCTTGGGCCAAGGCATCTATCAAAGATCCCCAAAACACCTTTTTGCACTTCCGCCGCCTAACCTTTCCACCTCCACCGTCACGATTCCATTTCCGTCCCAGTGACGCCCCAGAATCGGGAAGTCCGACCAAAATTCCCAGCCGAAAATTTCCATCTGCCCTGCCATTTTGTGTGCTGCTCCTTTTCAGAAGTTTCACCCGGAGAGGCGAATTTTTTGACGCCCTGAACCCTCTCTCTCTGTTTCAGCCTTTGCCATTTCGGTAACCCATGCACCATCCCCCACGTCGACAGCACCTGCTTGAAGCCTGAAACCGGAGGCTTTTCCCCCGTTGCTCCCAAACCCCACGCAGCGATCTTCGAGATTTCAGGGCTCCCCTGTTTTTTTGGTAGCGGGAAAAGGTCACCCCGTCTCGGTTCAAAGCTGAAATTGTGAAATTTTTGGGTAATTTTGCATCAGAGAGACCAAAC